CTTTTTGGCATACAAATTACTTTTTTTTGTGTTAAATTGTCTGTGTTTGACAAAATGTGCTGATTTTTCACATGTGATAGCAGAACTGAGTTGGGCATGCACAGGATGAGTCACATCATTTGAAACTTAGCCCTGATTGGAGAAATTGGAAGTGTTACAACTGACCCACGTTACAACTATCCCCGGTCTCCCCTACCGGTACTAGTTTTATTTTGTTGTATTTATCCGCGACACCCTAAACATAGTTTTAATCTGTAATATTTATTTTAATACAATCCACATCATAACACTTTTTTTCATATAAGCTAGCTTAAACAATATAACAACAACATGGAAATGACATTAGGGTAGCTATATCTTTCTATTATATACATTATATGATTTTTATATTGTGTGATAACTACATAAAAAGTTCTGTCTGTCTAACATTTTTACAAATTGCCTGACAGTGTGCAGAGATGAGGCTAAATTTTATATTTTACTTAGTGTCTTTATCGTAACATATCAAGATTTTATTCAGTTATACTATGAACATTAACATTCAAATATTGAAAAAAATAAATAAAACAAAAGGTACTACTCTGTTGTAAGTGTTATTGTTAGTAATTCACCAATATTAGCATGCTAACATGCTATAATAAAGCATTAAACATCACTAGCATTACAACTTATTTCCTTTCACTTGTAAGCATTGAGGATATTAACGTGCTTATGTTAGTGATTAGGTCAAAGTTGTCATGCGGTGTGGTAGGACTCAGGCGCAGAGCAGAGTTCAGGGGAAAACAACGTTTATTCACACAGTCACCGGGTGCAGATATATACAGTGAGGGGAGCGGGAGTCCTGGGTCTGAAAGGGAAGTCCGGGATAGGAGTCACATACACGCTAGCTCTTCTTCTTTACAACGGTTCAAACAACAGGTTGGTCACGGGTCCGGGGAAACTGTGCACAGGAGAAAAGAGGGTTACACAGAGATCACAGCAGGTCCACAACGCTTAAGGATACCAGGCTGAGGTTTACTGACGTGTCTAGCACAATCATCCAGCGGTGAGGCTGTCTGCGTCCTGGCCTTAAGAGTCCAACTCATAATTAGAGCCTGACGAGATGCAGGTGTGTGTGCCAAGGGCGGGAGCCTGCAGTGACCTCTGCCCTGGCGGGGAGGAGAGAGGAGAATGTACACAAAACACATTTTGCCTTGTGGAGCCGGCCGGGCAGACGATTAAAGGATTAATCTTTTCTATTCATTATATTTACCTCAGTGCTCTGACTAAATCAGAAACAATGACATAAAAGTCCAAAGTTCAAACTGCTCTGTTTAGTTCACTAAGCTGACCGAACATATACGCCTTTTCTTATTCAACACACTTTAAGTTTGGAAGATGCATTTATGCTTTAGACCACAGAACTAGGTATCTGCAGACATTATGAAATATCTTGCAAAAGGTTTGAGCCACCCATCACTTCTTTCAATTTTGTTTGGAAAATGGAAAACAGGTGCAGCATTTAATCAAAACGTAGAAACATACAGAAAAAGGCTATCCTGGTCCTTCTGTCCTCTCCGGTCAGCTCACTACTTTTTTTCCCCATTATATTGTGTGTTTATTGGTCTGGGTTTTGTGCAGAAGCAGGACTCTCCTCACCTTCTACCTCCACACACCTGGAGTAATCACACACCTGTCCCTGATGTCCTTGTTTGTGACCGCTACTTAAGGTAGTGCCAGACCTTCAGTCTTCTCTGGATTGTTGAATTGCTACAGTTGATGGAGTCTGGCTCCCAACTTTTGAGATTGTGCTACCTGTGAGAGAGGAACTTACCTGGCTTTTCCTTGTGTGCAAATTCTTCTAGAGAAACCTTTGCTGGAGAGCGGTGAACTTTTAGTCTTGGAGAATCTGTGTGAATCTGAAAATAATCCTGCCTTGAGGAGACTGGAACCATCACTAATGTTGACCTTCAGTGTTGCACATTGAGTCACTGTTAATAAATGCACTGACCTTCTTCAAAACAGCCTGAATTCTATGAGGTAGCTTTCTTCTAACTTCTTTAAGTAGTTTCCAGGCTTCTTGAAGGACATTCCAAGCTCTTCTTTGGGTGTTGGCTGCCTTTTGTTCTGTTCTCTGTCCAGATGATTCCACACTGCTTCAATAAGTTTGAGCTCCAGGCTCTGGAGAAGCCGGTCCATGACTGATAGTATTCCACTGTGTGTTTTCCCATACAGCTACATGTTTACTGAATTGGCATTGTGTTTGGGGCCATTGTCATGGCTTATTACAA